AGGATTACTGGTCTTGAGCGTGTCGCACAAACTGTTGGGCATCTGTGAGTCCGCGGATTTATTGACCAACGGAGGAGACAACGGTTGCTGCTGCATCATCGAAGACACTTGCCCTTCCACACAGCTCATCCCTCCTGTGGGTTCTCTTGGGGGGCTCTTGACCACAAAGCCCGGATCTGTGGCCATACTGAGGTGGATAAGTCTCGTCTGGGGCATCTGGTCAATGTTGATGCTGTACTTGGTGTCATCCTTGGGGGGCGGCGGCGGAGGGGGAGGAGGGGGTGGTGGCGGAGGCGGCTTGGGCCTCAAGGTGGAGGTGTTGGTGGGCAGGATGACGTAGCTGGCGTCCCTGGTTTGATCCTGTGCCCGCGAGAGCTCCGAATCCAGCTTCTTGAAGATGTCTCCATCACAGATGTAGATGGATTTTGGAGGTTGGCTTTTGTCCTTCTTCAAAGTCAAGGTGTGGTTGCTGAAGTCGTTGAGGTTGATGGCGCCCAGGTAGTGTGGGGAACTCTGGAGGTGCAGCTTGGAGACGTTGGCTGGAAGACTGTTGAAGTTGGAGGAGCCCTTCTGGTGGTTGAGCTTCAGCTTCTCCTCGTCCTGCAGGGACGGCCGCTTCAGAGTCCCCGTGATGGTCATGGTACGACATGTACCGATGTCCTTGTTGAGCACTAACAAATCAGGGGGAGAGAGACGGGATTTCAGAAGGTACTACGGACACAATGATGCTGTACAACCACACGTCCCCCTTTGTTGTCCAAAAAACAGGTTACCTAATGTAGGTAGTCCTCAACTAACAACCATAATCGAGCCCATCGTTTCTGCCGCTGAGTGAGTTCTGCCCCCTTTTACGATCAGTTATTAAGTGAACCACTGCCGTGGTTAATTTAGGAACACGGTCGTTCAGTGGATCTGGCTTCCCCGTTGACGGATCACCCAAGCGGATCATGGCAACCGTCATAAATAAGAGCCAGTTGCCAAGCGTCAGAATGTTTTATCACGTGACCATGGGGAAACTGCCAGGGTTGTTAAGTGTGGAAGAACGGTCATAAATCAATTTTTTTTCCAGTATTGTAACTTCGAATGGTTGCTAAACGAAAAGTCGTAAGTCGAGAACTACCTGTATTTCCTAATTACTTTATTCTTACTGCCACTGCCCAAATATGAAGGGAGATGCTCACCCCACGCCTACCCACACCCTCCAATAGTGGATTGGCATTCAATTCGACTTTCCACAATTGATATTTACACCATCCAAGCTTCGTTTCTCTTGCTCTCTAGAGGTATGGATCTGAACTAGGCTGTGTTGTTTCTCTGTGACATAGAATGTATGGGGTCTGTGCATAATTCTGCATTTACCTGTATTTATTTATTCTGTTATATTATGTAGTGTATATTGAAGGTGACCCTTTGAGAGCTGAACGCAACAGAATTTCTTTAATGTATGTTTAGTGCACATTCAAAGTGACAATTTTGGATGTACACTATTCTGTTCTGTTCTGTACTGTTCTGTTGTGTTCTGTTCTATTCTTAATTCTATACTAGTTTTCATTCTATTCTATTTTCTATATTTTCTATTTTCTATTATTTTCTATTACTTTGTTTTCTGTTATTTTCCATTTTCTGTTATATTTTACATTATATTTTAAGCTATATTTTATATCTCATCTTATATATCATATATTATATCTCATATTATTTTATATTTTATATTTTATATTCTATTTTATTCTATTCTAGTCTTAACTCTGTTCTGTTCCATTCCGCTCCGCTCCGTTCCATTCCGTTCCATTACGTATTTTGTTCTATTCTATTCTATTCTATTCTATTCTATTCTATTCTATTCTATTCTATTCTATTCTATTCTATTCTATTCTAT